ATTAAAATTTTATTATAAAAATTAATTTTAAAAAAATTATGCAGACAAATTTGACTGTATTACAATCTAAGGGATAGTTGTTTGATTTGTAGTTAGTAAGGTTGGTTTTAGGACTATCCTAAAATTAAATAGTTATTTTCGGATATCCTAAAATTTCTAAATTATCTTAAATATGCTAAATTGTTCTAAATTAAATTTACTTATTATATATAAAATCTGATTATTTTGAAAAGGTATAGATATTTGTTATATATACTAACAATTATCAAGTTTATAAATACTTATTTGCAGTTATGTTTGTAAATTATTTATGTACATAAATGTAAACATATGATATATGTATATCTTATATAAAATTTGATAATAATACATGTAAAAGTACCATATATATATCTATTAATTCTTTCTTACTTTAGCATAGACAAATAACATTTATTATATGTTGCAAAATATGTAATACTATATATAATTAGCAAATTAAATCGCTACATATTCTAATAATTGATAAAACAAATTACAGCATATTATTTTTATAGTTCAATGCTTGACAAATTCGACAAAGTTAATGAAAAAAGAGTATTTAGATTCCATTTTGCTTGAGGGTCTTCTGCCAGGTGTAAAATTTCAGTATTATCTAAATCGTAGTCTTCTGCTTCGTATACTTCATCGTCTAACTACATATACTACTCATTAACAACTCTAGTACAATCTAATTTATTTAAAATAAGCTCAGATTCTATTTTTTCATCAGAACTATCAGTTTCTTTGATCATTTGATTTGTACTAGACTCCACATTAACTGATACTTCATTATTCATATTCATATTATTAATTGAACTTTTTTTTTGTGCATATATTTGCATGCTATTGAGTTTCTTTGAATCTAATTTTTTTATATTTTCTTTATATTAATTAGCCCAAAGTTGTGCTATTTTCATAACTTTTTTTTCATTAAGATGAACTCGATGCTTTAAATGAATAAAGCCCATATTACTAAACAATCATTCAACACTTGCTAAATTAACTACAATTGAAAATAATCGTTTACTAATAAATGCAAGTTCAGGTGCTTCTTCTTCAACATATTTCCAAAACTGAAGTGGTGTATCCTTAAATTAGTTGGCTTGATAATTATCAAAAGTAAATGTCTTGTTACGATATTGTGTTATTTTATTAGCAAGTGTTTGCAGCTTATTTTCTGCCCACATTTTATAATATATTTGAGCATATTTGCATAATTTCACAAAAGAAATATTACTTGCTTTTAAATTTAAATTGCTTAATCAAAGGTTAGGATTTACAAAATATGCCAACAAAAGAAGTGGCTGCTCTCAGTCTTTTCAACATTTTTCAAGATATTTTATTATTATTGACTTGAATTCCTGAATTTCTTAATCATCAGTTTCACTTTTAGAAAAAATTTGACTAAAATGTCCAAAACAAATAAGAACATGATATAGATAGGTATTATTTTTTTCAAGCAGGCAATTGCTTCTACAAAAGGTTTTAGTATTACTTTCAATATACGAAGTTCATTAAAAAACTTGCAATCATCTAAGATACTTGTAACAGATTGAAAAAGAAGTAAAGCTTTTTTATCATGTATTCAGATACTTGTTCCATGAGTTACTAAAAGGCTCTATTAAAATAAATTATAAAATTTAAAATTATACTTTAAATTAAATAATAAAATATAAATTTAAATACCCTTAATGCACACTCTACTTTTAAAAAAGCTCGAATACAATTAAAATATGAATACTACTAAGTTTCAGTAGGATTAGTGAGAGCAAAATAAGGAATTTTAAGATCATTGCAAGTATTTTTAAGGAGTGTTGTAAAAAAAGATGATTTATTAAAGAAAGTAGTAACTACTATGGCTTGCTTAATTGTAGTAAAAAAAGATTGCGATAACTTGAAAATATCAACAATACAAAGATTTGCTTGATAAGCAAAGCAAGATAGCCAAATTATTGTTGATAATTCTTTTCTTAATTTGCGACATGCAGCAGCATATCCACTTGATGAATCTATGACAACTGCAATAATCTTAACATCTTTTAATTCATCTTCTATTAATAAATCCTTTACCAATTTTATTGTAGCCTCCATGGAGCTATGTTCACTTGAAATATTTCTTGCATCATATATTATTACTTTACCTTCTTCTGTAATACAAGTAATGCCAAGAATATTTTGCTTTGCAATATTTTTCTAACCATTGAATGTAAGAGTAATAGCTTTTGCACTTTGTAAAGTTTTTATAGTCTTGGTTTGAAGCTTATTTGCAGCAGTATTAAGAAGTTTTCCTCCTAATGTTCAATAAGATGGAATTGCAGTAGATTTAAGCTATAAAGTTGGATTAAGAAAATGAAAAAGTTCTAATAATTCATTATTTTCTATCTACTGAAATGACCATCTGTTGAAGATAGTTGCATTTAAAAGCTTTTCTTAAAATTCTTTAATACATTTGTCTGTTGAAGATTTTAGAAAGTATTTAGAAATCTCATTTTCAAACTGTTCTTCATTATAATTAGACTTAAGGCGTTTGCTTAAAACTAAACTTTCTGAAGCATCACCAATATTGTTCACTTTACCTTGAAGCTCTTGCCTTAAATCACTAGGAGCATTTAAACAAGCAAGAAGATGCTGAGTATAATATCATGGTTTGCCTATTACAATTTTTTTTTCTTGTTCTAAATTTTCAAAAGAATTTTCATTTTTTTTTAAACAGAAGGTGCATGTCATTTCTTTATCTGATGAATTCCAAAACTTTGGCTTTCCATCATCTTCTGGAACCTCAACAAAAAATTCAGAAATTGTACACTTTGGACATCCCCATTTATTAGACATTATAAAAGTTAAGCTTGTATATATAATTATAAAGAAAAAACATAATAATTTATATAAGTTTGTTTTTTAATTGATTAAATATTTTATAAATTAAAACCAAAAAGCATATAGGTTAAGTAATATAATTTATTATTTACCACTTCACTATAATTTTTACTTATGTCTCTAATAACTTTTCTTTACTAATTTATGTTCTTTGTTCACTTTTACACAAGTATTATTTGGTTGTTACTTAAATGAAATAGAAATAGTATCACTTCACCTTCTGCTTTTATGAAATAAAATTTCATGTTACTTGAACAAAAATAGAAATTCAATTAATCATAACCTCATGACCAAATGCCTTATTTATTTAATAACAAATAATTATACACTATTTATTACATCATTTTGTGTATGTTAAGTCTGTCAAATAAACTCATTATTACTATTTACTATCACGACCCAGATCAGTATCTGGATCAGTACCCAGATCAGTATCTGGATCAGTACACTGTAATTTAAGGATTTGCCCCTACTCATATTGATACATTTTTTCTAGTTAAAATATACAATTTTATTGGCCCAATATCATGTGATCTAACTCTTTACAATTTTTGAATACCTGATTTTATTTTCGAAGCTATCCTAAATTGTCCATCCAAAAATTCTAAAATCCAAAAATATCCTACTTGCCAACCTTAGTAGCTAGGCATTTAGATGTTATAACAGTAAGTGTATTTGTTAGTAAACTGTTTTAGTACATTGCTTTGCATCTTTCTGTTTATATTTGCTTGTATATATTATTTGATACTTGGTGAAATAGATTGGTAAATAAACTTAATGTAATGTTGCAGTCTGTAAACATGTTGTTGTCAGAAATCAGGCTTCATAATTTGAGAAGAAGTTGTGCAGCATTTTGTGTTTAAATAAACTGCTGCAATAAAATGAAAGTATTGCTGCATCCAAGTTTGTGTTTTATACAAAACTTATATATACTTTGTTGAATTAGCTAATTAAGAGAAATAGAGTTTGCTATGTATTTTAGCCAGTACAAGTTGTCTTTTATATGTAATATGCAGTGATTGCAGATAAAATTAGTACATGTTTTAGGTTTTCTATAGTATAAGTTTAAAAGTGTAGATAATTCATTTAGTAGAAACTTGATTTTGATGTTTTTTAATTAAGAATACTTTGAATAAGTAGTGTAAGTATTAAGTTTGTTGTTGTAGTTAATAAATTAATATGTTAGGTCCTAATTGGTATTTTAATGAATAATGTTTAATGTCTAGTCCTATTCAGAGAATGCCATTTTGAATGTTTATTGCATTTTGTAAGTGTTGAATAAAGTAATAGGTTTTATTTTCTATTAGTGTTCCATTTTAGATAATATAAAAGTTATTGTTATCAAGAGCATAAAAAAAAATGTAAAATTTATATTATGTGTTTTGGTAGAACGATGTGTTGTTCTTTTGTAAAGAATATAGTTATTAGGGTTCTCAATATAGGCATATTTGATTTTGAGATATTTGTAAGCAATTATTTTTGAAACTAAAAGTTTAAGTATCTAGTGATTGTATTTTTGTAAATTAAAAGTATAATTCAGTATTAATGTAAGAAGTGAGTTAATATAGTTAATTGTGATTTGTAAATTATCAAAACAGTTATTTGACAGTGCTATAAAGTAATAGTCAGTATTGTTATAATGCTAATAAAGTATATTCGAATAATAGAAGGCCAGTATATAATTTGAAAAGAAAAAATATAATATTAGTTAAAGCCAGGATTCAGGCAAATTGGGCCTATAAGTGTAGTGTGTTTGGCTAGGTTATAGTTGTATAAAAATATAATTGAAGTTTTTTAGCTTGAAAATTAATTGTTGTAAGATGCAATAACTATATACTAGCAGTGTTCAATAAAAAATAATTAGTATAATAAGTTGTTTGATAAGACTAATATAGTTAATAAATAAGAATTATTTTGTGTCTCTAAAGTAATATTTGAGTGTAATGTTAGTGATTTGTTTAAATAATATGGTAGTTTTTGTTTTGTGAGATTTGAATAATATTGTATTAGATCATTAATATCTGTATTTGAGCTAGATACTTTGATAGCAGTGTATTAAGATATCTTGAATATAATTATGTATTGCTAACTAGCAGCAGTACAAGTATGTTTGTTGTTTAAACATTTTGAAAGTGGAGCTGTATATTGAAGCTCTAATAGTATTAAACAATAGTGTTTGATGTGTATTGTGTTATTAAAATTATAATTTTTTAATTTTTCTATAATTTGAATATTGTTAATTTTTTCAAAAACTCATATACTTCTTGTTAATATTGTAAAGTTTGTAGTAAATAGGTTAGAAATAATAGTAGAGATAAATAGTATTGTAAATGTGTAGAATGTATTGTATAGTTTATAAAATCATTTTGGAATTCTGCTATTAGAATTTTAAGAAGTTTATATACAATGCATTGATATGAAAGTAGTTATATATTCATATAATTGGTAAGTTGTTTAATAACATATATGTTTGCTTTATAAGTTAGTGATTTGATATATGTTGGTTTGTTATAAAATTTAATTAATGTGTCAATTAAAGTGCCTTTATATAATTGGTATAGGCTAGAGATTAAGAAGGTTAAAATCTAGATATTGAGCTAATATGCTATTTAAATAATTTGATCTGTAAATATATTATAAAACTTAGTAGATAATATATAGTTAGGTAAAAGTAAAATATTGTTAGATAAAAGTGTAGAATTCTGAAGATGTTATATTTCAATTTTAATAAATAAAGTTGTTAAAAAATGATTAATTATATGTGAAGTGATGAAATATAGGTTTGTATTTATATATCTGATAAACTACAAAGGTTGTAAATTTAATAAAATAGAGTACAGTTGAGTTTGGTATAATTAAAGTAAGTCCAGCTTTGTGTTTTACAACTTGCATATAAGAATTAGTTATAACTTGCATTGCTAATTAGTATATAAATGTGTTAATAGTATTGCATAAAAAGCAGAATACAAGTACTATATTAATTATATAGATTGTTTGTTTTTTAGTAATATTTTTGTTTTTTATAATATTCATAAAATTGGTAGCTTTAGTAGTAATTGATGTAGATATGCTTTTAGTGATTTATTGGTATAAACCAATAACTAAGATAATGAAATATATTGTAGTAAATAAAAGTCTTCTTAATTTTATACTATAATGATGACACAATATAGAGAATCCCTTTTAGGTATATGCAGTATCCAAGAAGAAAGTATAGCTTCTGTTAAATATTATTAAGGAACTATACCCTTTTCTAAGACAGTTTGAGAAAGGTAATACAATACTAATAACTTTACTTTATTTTACTAAGAAAGAATAATCTTGCCTGTAGAAATTACTCCAAAGAGAAAGTATTAATACAGTTTATAGACAAAAGCTGTTTATTAAAGTAAGAACAAGAAGGGTATTCTTAGATTTCTGTCCCAAAATGTGTTTACAATATTAAAAAGAGAAGTGTCTGTTGCTTAATTACACTTGAAGAATTTAGTAGGGTTTATATAGCTGTGAGCTAAATAACTAAGTGGCCAAGTGACTAAGTGATTAAGTGACTAAGCAACTAAGCATTAAGTAACTAAGTGACTAAGCAACTAAGCAACTAATTGATTACTAAGTGACCAGAAGGTTCTAGCAACTAATAACTAATAAATACTAAGTAACTAATTACTAAGTGACTAAGTGGCTAAGCAACTAAGTTACTAAGTAACTAAGTAACTGCAACTAAGTAACTAAGTAACTAAGCAATTACTAATTGACTTAAAAGTTTTAGTAACTACTAGTAATAATAATAATAATACAATAATAAATAACTAATATTAAATGATAATAATAAAATAATAATAATAACTAATAATAATAAAATAATAATAATTCATTTTATAACATTTCTATCTTCTTTAAAAATTTACTCTGTAAATTCTATGTTCTAATCAATTTAAGAAGTTTGGTGTACTCATCATTCAGCAACTTGATAATATGTGTTGTGGTCATATATTTTAACTATAAAGTTTTTTCTTTTGATCATAATTCAAGAATTTTGTATATTCTAAAAGCACCTTTTCAAGTATCTTTTGCTCTTCTTGTTACTTGAGCATTTTGAATAAAATCTTTAATCTTAGAAGGATTATTGGACTTCGAGAGTATCTGTTTCAAGTAATAGTAAGCTTTTATTTTCTTGTTAAGGTTATGTCAAGTACATACAGAAGTGGATAAGAACTTTAAAATTTAATTAACTTGTTCTTTCATGTTCTTTCAGAAAAAGGTTAGTTATATTTCAAGTTGTTGGTACTGGTGTTTGTTTCAAATTATTTATTTTTTGAATTAGATAGTTAGTATTATTACTTTCTAACTCTATAATTACTTTATTAAGTAAAGTTTTGATTAGAGAAGGTTATATTTCTTCTAATTATAGAAATTTATTGATATTGAATTCTACTAAAGCTTTTATTATGGGATTTAAGTTAATAACTTTTTCTGGTTCTTTATCACTTCAAATAATAATATTTTGAGATGATATATTTAAGTGATTTTGAGATATGGGGTCCTGTTTCAAGATTTGAAGAAAGTTATTTAAAGTGATTACTGTTTCTGGTTGTAGTTTTAAGAATTCTATTTTTAGAAAAATTTGTACAATTTGAGTGTGTTTATATAAATTTTCAAGTATCACAATTTTTGAATAAATTGTAATATTAAAAAATTTGTGTAATATTATTGTTTTTCTATCTGGTTTTAGTAATTTCTTTTAGAATTTTCAGTTATTCGAAAAGAAACAAAAGGTTCTCATATTTGTTTTTCATAATATTTAGCAAGACAATCACTACTATAGTACTTTTGCAATGTATTTTCTTTGTTATTACAAAGTTTATAGGCACTATTGTTTAATTTTTCTTGAATAATAAAGAGTTTAGTTCTTTTATCTTCAAATTTAACTGATCAAAAATGTTCTATGTTCTTTTTAA